AACACTGAGATTCCACCTCACCCCACAAAGAATGGCTGCTATCAAGAAATCAAACAATAACAAATGTTGGCGGGGTTGTGGGGAGAAAGGAACCCTTCTCCATTGCTGGTGGGAATGCAGACTGGTGCAACCACTATGGAAATCAATATGGGGATACCTCAAAGAGTTTGGACCGGAGGTTCCATTTGACCCAGCCATCCTTCTGCTGGGTATCTTTCCAAGAGAACTAAAAGAATCATATCACAGAGAAGTATGCTCACCCATGTTTATAGCGGCACAGTTTGTAATAGCTAAATCTTGGAAATAGCCCATTTGCCCATCCGTTCGAAACTGGATAAAGAGATGTGGTTTTTCTATAAAATGGAATATTACTTAGCCATAAAGAATGAGAAAATAGATTGATTCATAGGAAAATGGATACGTATTGAAGATATACTCCTAAGTGAAATAAATAAGTCACACATGTGTAAATACCAAATAGTTTCCCTGGTGTGAATAATCTGCAATAATACATAAGATCCTAATAAGATTACTGACATTTAGAAATGGGAAGAAAGGAGCTAAAGGTGTAGGGAAGGTGGGATGGGTAGGGGAAGGGTAATAAGGGAAAAGAAAAAAATGTGAGATAATGAAAAGATGAAAATAAAGTGTTTGTAGATGGGGAGGGGAGAAGGGGGTGAAGGGAGGGCAGAGGTAAGGGGAAAAAATGAGAATCAAGACTTGTCAGGTAGAGGTGAAAGATCCCAACAATGAATGTAACTGTACTGTATCCCTAAAATGTACCAATAAACTCAATTATAGCTGAAAAAAAAAAGTACTTGTAATTTGAGCCACCTGGTGTGATATCATCTTCACGCAGCACATTTTGTGACAAGAACAAACTGAGGTAACATCTCTGAGGAGATTTTGTGAAGTTCATAAGCACCACTTTTGGTAGTCACAGGCTTCAGGAAATGAAAATCAACCTAGGAGTAGTCCCTTCTGTCAGCCAGGTTGCAAAATTGGCTCACAGGAAATGAGTGATCAATCTGGAGTAACAGGGTCAACAAGAGGCCTGAGCCAATCGCCAACTCTACACCTGAGCTCCACATACACACTTTGCGGTCTCGAAGAAAATTTAAGCCTTTAAAAACAATTGCCACTTTTTTGGAATCGGGTCTTTATATTTGGTGAGGAATGACTGTTCTGAGTTGTTTATATGTTTTAGATAATAGTCCTTCGTCTGAGGCGCAGCTGGTAAAAATTTTTGCCCACATGGTAGGTTGTCTCTTAGTTCTGTTGATAGTTTCATTTGCAGTGCAGAAGCTTTTTAATAAGATGAGATCCCAGTTGTTGATTCTTTCTGCTAGTTCCCGTGCTACTGAGGATTTGTTCATAAAGTCTTTTCCTATGCCAATGTCTTCCAGAGTTCTGCCTAACTTATCTTCCAGCAAGTTTAGTGTTTCTGTTTTAATATTTAGATCTTTAATCCACTTGGATTTTAATTTGGTACATGGTGAAAGATATGGGTCCAGTTTTAATCTTTGGCAGGTTGAGTTCCAGTTTTGCAAACACCATTTATTAAAGAGGCTATCTTTCCTCCAGTGAGGGTGGTCAGCTCCTTTGTCAAAGATGACATAGCTGAGTACATCTGGATTTGTTTTTGTGTCTTCCAATCTGTCCAAAATGAGAATCTGCAATGAACAGACATTTCTCAGATAAAGTGGTAAAAGCAGCAAGTAAATATATGAAAAAATGTTCTACATCACTGGTCATTTGAGAAATGCAAATGAAAACAACACTGAGATTCCACCTCACCCCACAAAGAATGGCTGCTATCAAGAAATCAAACAATAACAAATGTAGGCGGGTTGTGGGGAGAAAGGAACCCTTCTCCATTGTTGGTGGGAGTGCAGACTGGTGCAACCACTATGGAAATCAATATGCAGATACCTCAAAGAGCTGGGACTAGAGGTTCCATTTGACCCAGTCATCCCTCTGCTAGGTATCTTTCCAAAAGAATTCAAAGAATCATATCACAATGACATATGCACACCTATGTTTATAGCAGCACCGTTTGTAATAGCTAAAACTTGGAAACAGCCCATTTGCCCATAAGTTGGAAACTGGACCAATATGATGTGGTTTTTCTATAAAATGGAATACTACTCAACCATAAAGAATGAGAAATTAGATTCATTCATGGGAAAATGGATTCATATTGAGGATATACTCCTAAGTGAAATAAATAAGTCACACATGTGTAAATACCAAATAGTTTCTCTGGTGTGAATAAACTATAATAGTACATAAGATCCTAATGAGATAATTGACAATGTGAAATAGGAAGAAAAGTGCTAAAGCTGTAGGGAAAGTGGGAAGGGTAGGGGAAAGGTAATAAGGGAAAATAAAAAAGTATGAGAAAATGAAGAAATGGAAATGAAGTGTTTGTAAAGGGGGAGGGAGGAGGGGTGAATGGAGGGCAGGGAAAAGGGGAAAAAGTGAGAACCAAGACCTGTCATGTAAAGGTACAAGATCCCAATAATGAATGTAACTGTACCGTATACCTAGAATGTACCCATAAACTCAATGAGGAAAAAAAATTTAAAAACTGCCACATTAGCTCTCCAGTGACTTCCTATATCCCTCCATTCCCTCAAGCCTATTCAGTTGAAGCACACATGTTTATTTATTGAATTGTACCTATGACTGTTAATAACTATGACCAACCAGAACCATAATTTCCCACAAAGGAAACAAATTATTCCAACAGGTGAAGTGTGTTTATGAGTAACTGAACCATATGCAATATATTTGTTAATTTCTTCCTTATTTATACAGTTTTTCCAAAAACATCTAAAATAAATTTATATATATATATATTTTTTTTTTTCTCAGTACAGGGGATTGAACTCAGGACCTTATGCTTGCAGGGTAGGTGCAGCACCACTGAGCTAACCCCCTGGCCCAAATTATATTATTTTTATAAGAATAACTTCTTTCAATATCTGAAAGTTAGCTGGTTTTTGCTTCTCCTTTCCTGGGAAGTGTGGAATAGAAGGTTCTACTTCTTTTAAGCTGAGGATGTCCCATTGTTAGTCCATTCAGGAGATTAACATAGGCCTGCCAGCAGGTCGTGAAACACACAGGGCCTACTTGGCTATAAATTGATACTTTTTAATGACATTAATCTCCAAACATTAATGTAACTGAAATCATAAAAACATCCCTGCTACCGATAGATGCAAGGTATAATAGAAAGATTATAGATACAGAATCAAATGGCCTAATGACTTGGTTATAAGGCTATCATTTTTAAGAATCTGCTCCATGGCTGGTATTGTACAAATTGTTATTCATACATTACATAAAAAAATATTCCATTGGCCCCTCACACACATTACAGAATCACAGGTGTACTGTATAAGCCTCATTTTGTCAGTATACCCATGGATCTGACTTACAAAGTTTCTCCTGGAAAGTCTGTAAGTGCAGGTTACTGAATATTAAAACATCCCTTTGAGGATTATGATCTCCTTTGCATCGATGCAGAAACTGAGATAAAGTAATGCCCAAGATCCCAAAGAATAAATGGCAAGGGATCCAAAGCCGGGTCTCCTCCACACCTAAAGCTACACTAACATCCAGTCACAGCTGCACGATCTGGGCAAGGACACTCCGACACAGCTTCCTGACTTCTAAACTCGGGACGACAGTGTCCCCCATCTCAGAGGATTTGTGGAAGGGTCATATAAGTAGGCATGTTTTGTAATTTCAGAACAGGAGCCCATGTTGACGTGGAGAGTTCGGATTTTCAGGTGGTCTATTTGTCCTGTTTGCAGTGCAGAGGGGAGGGATGTTCATCTTGTGACCCCTCAGGAGGCTGACAGAAACAGCTGGGGAAGTCTGGCACCCCAATCTGTTTTCACAGAATTCTACAAAATACTAGAACCTAGAACAGGGGATGGGGAACAGGGGTGACAGCTAACGCCACCTTCTTCCTTTCCAGACTTCACACAGGAAGCCTCAAAGGCTTCAGAACTTAAGAGTTTTGCATCGGTTCAGAACATTCATTAATGGCAGAACTGGAGACAGCACCCAGGCCTCCACATGCTCCTGCATTTCCAAAGGCACCAACAGGAACACCCTTCAGCCTAGGTCCACACTGTTCTTGTACAATGACGGGTTAGCACTAATTCGCGGTACTGTGTCCTGCTCTAAGGAAAAATCACAGGCATAGCATGAAACACTATTTCAATTCTTCACAACCTGCATACACTCCCAAACTGAATAAACATGGAAGAATATATTCAATGAGAAATGAAATTTGCTTTCTCTTTACATGGTCTCTGTGAGAAGGCTGAGTCTGCTTTCCATGCTACATCTGAATATGATTCTTCATAACTTTTTTCCCTCAATTCATAACAGTAAGGGAAGTGGGAAGAGTAGGGAAAAGGAAATTAGGGAAAAGAAAAAATATGAGAAAACGAAAAAATGGAAAGAAACAAAGTCTTTGTAAATAGGGGAGAGTGAAGGGGGTGAAGAGAGGGCAGGGGTGTGGGGAAAAATGAAAACCAAGACCTGTCATGTAGAGGTACAAGATCCCAATGATGAATGGAACTGTACTGTATATTTAAAAAGTACCAATAAACTCAATGAAAAAAATAATAGTTCCAGTATTTCAAATCCACCCTAGCAGTTATACTGTAGAACAAGAGAGTACAGTGCAACAAGAAACACAAGCAGTCTCAGGCAATTGCCATTTTCTAATGCTCAGCTGTGATCTCAGCCAAGTACCCAGCCCGCCTACCCCCAAAGGGCTATGAACAGCCCTCCATCCAGTTCAATTTAGACTCTGCCAAACAGCTTTGGCAGATCTGTGCTGAGAATGCGATCCAAGAGTCCCAGACAATATGCTCTCTCGAGCTGCATCATATCCCACATTTTATTTACAAATGGACATGCGATTTATGGCTGCATTGTTAAATTCAAAGAAGGGGCAGTGCACTTGGCATTTACCATGGGTCAGGCAACAACACACTGCAATAAACAACAATGCAAACAGGAAACAAAGGGTTATGGTAGAGGTTTCAGGATATTTTCCCTATTATATACAGGATTAATAATAAACTCAGTGGGGCCTTCCTACAATGTATGCCCAGCTCAAAGTCAGCATGACCTCATAATAATCTGCCCACTCTCAACTGTGGGAGGAAAGAGGCTATTAACAATAATTTCAAGGAGTTTGTCTAGTGAGGGTTTCTAAACTAAAAAATATTTTTTAAAAAAATCTTAAAATATGTAACCTATTTTCTCCACCCCCCAGTTTCTCCTGATAGTCATTCAAAGTTGGATAGGTATTAATAATGGAATCATTATCAAATTCAAGTGTACAGAGAGGTCCACTAAATACACACAAATACACACACACACACACACACACTCGCACAATGTAGATGGAAAGAAAACCTACTCTACCCCTAGGGCAAGTCACTAGAGGCACTAATCTCAATAAAGTTTGGCAGAAGAGCAAACAGTATTTGTGTACTAGACTATTTTCTCCAGCAGTTTTGGCTTCACAGTGGAATCTGAGTGGAAATCATAGCAAATGCCCGCACTTCCCCTGTATGAGCACAGCCTTCCCCACAGTGAACATCCAGCACTGGAGTAGTAACACTTGTTACAACTGATAAACCTACACTGACACACTGTTATCGTTCACAGTCTGTAGTTTATACCAAGGTCATTACTGGTGTTCTAAATTCTGTAGGATGTGGAAGCTATAAAATGACATGTACCCACCACGACAGAGTCACATGAAATGAAGCCCTAAAATACCACTGTGCTTCGTATACCCGTCCTTCCCTTTCTAATCCCTGGTAACCACTGATCTTTTCACTGCCTCCATAGTCTTGTATTTTCCAGAATATCTTAGAGTTCACATCAGAAAATATTTAGTCTTTTTACACTGACTTCTTTCATTTAGCGATATTTAATTTATCCATTTCTTTACATTGTATGATAGTTCATTTCATTTTAGTGTTAAATGATATTCCATCATCTGAACGTATCAGTCATTATCCATTCACCTACTGAAGAACATCTAGGTTGCACTGAAATTTTGACAATTATGAAAAAAGTAGCCATAAACTCCTATATGAGGGATTTTGTACAAGCATAATTTTCAACTTATTTGCATTAAATACTGATGAGTCCAATTACTTAATTATATTGCAATGGTATGTTTAGTTTTGTAAGAAACCACAGAATAAATCAGAGAAGTGGGCTGAGGATTTAGCTCAGTGGTGCCACTGCCTGCCTCACAAGCACAAGGTCCTGAGTTTGATCCCCAGGACAAAAAAAGAAAAAGAAAAAAAAAAAGGAAGAAAGAAACCAGAGAAGAAATTTAAAAGTTCCTATAATCAAATGACAGTAGGAGCACAACATACCCAAACCCACAGGACACAATGAAAGCATTCCTGACAGGGAAGTTTGTACCTGTGAATGCATACATAAAAAGAATTGAGCATGGGAGAGGGATTTAGGTCAGTGGTTCTGCTGCCAGCCTTACAAGCACAAGGACCAGAGTTCAATCCCTGGTACCAAAAAGAAAAAAGAAAAAAAAAGATAAAAAGAAATGAACGATCCCAAATGAATAACCTAATGAGGCAACTCCAGTTCTAGGAAAACACAA